GGGGGGGGGGGGGGGGGGGTCATAACTTATGAGAAATAAGGCAGGTAGAAAAAACAGGATGGGGGGGGGCGGGGGGGGGGGGAGAAACAGCCACATGTCCAGCTAAACAGAACCAAACACTGCTTGATAAGCCTAATAGGCTATTCTGAGTCTAAATTTCCTTTCTACGAAGGGCAGAATCAATTAAAGTCAGCTGGAATCCTCCTGACACACAATTTGCTGTTGCCAAACGTAAAGACGTGTTTTAACGCACGTAACACGGTGAAGCACGTGGCTGCAGCTCAACATATATGTACGGCACACAGACAGGGGGGAGAGCTTTGGTTACTGTGTGGCTAGGTGTTAGCGCGGTTAGGGCACGTGATGCGGAAGGTGCCGTGGTCGGCGGTGCCATATGCAGTATTTGGAGCATCGGGGGGGGGGGGGGCAGGCTCCTGGACATTTTCACGCACTACGGTGCCTGGAGTTCACAGAGAATGGTGCAATGTATTAAAAAAAATAATTATATATATATATTAAATGGGCAAAAAAAAAACCTTTTTTAATGAAGGAGGTCAGATGCGAATGGCCAGACTCGTTAAAGCTAACAGGAAGGCCACAGGTACAAATACCGGCTCAGTACAATGGTGGTGTACAAAATGGCTTCTCGGAACACAAAACTCATTTACCCTTGAAGCTTTTAATGGAAAAGTGGATCCCACACAGTACTAAGCAAGGCCAATGGATACGGCTGCAGCCAAAGCTTGTGTGTGGGTGCAGCTTTCTCTACAACAATGTGTCTCAACCCAGTCCTCAGCGAGCGACCCCCCCCGTCCACATTTTTGCTCCCTACCAGTTCCCTGTGCACCTGCCCCAGGTACTCGGTGCTCTTGATTGGCTGGGAGCCGGGAGGGAGTGAAAATGCGGAATGTCTGTGGGTCCACGAGGACTGGGCTGATAAACACTGTTCGCTGAGAATGACAGTTTGGTTGGGAATTAATTTAGAATTTGCAGGGTAGGAGTGCAGATGCCTGGACCGAGGGCCCCGGGGCCAGCTCCTTGACACACAGCCCCCGCACCCTCCTCAGGTTAGCCGCTCCCACCGCGCGTACTTGATAATAATTAACGCAACTTGACAGAGGGGCCTAGCCGAGGAAAGGCCTGTCGCTTCCCATCCTTATCCGAGCTCCCTCGCGTGTCCTCACCCTCCAGGCTGCGCCCCCCCCTACACAGAGGGACAAGCGTGACAACGCATACCAGCAGCATCCGAAAATGGCGTCCGCAGAACACATCGCTGGCTGAAAAATCGCAACTTGATAAAATTGTTAAATCGACACATTTACGCGCACCATGTAAATCAGAAGCCAGATGGCACAGAAATCTGTTATTCTCCAAACAAGCAAACTACGATCTAATTCCGTCAGTCCGCCTCAGGAACATTTCACGTTTCAGAGGAATTTGCCACCTTAATTAAAATGAAAAGTACTCCAGTTTAAACTGGAAAAAAATGAAAAATGATTCAATATTATGCATTGTACTTTGTTTGTAGATGAGTCATTACCTACAGTAAAAACCTCTATTCAGTATTTACAGCTGAAAGGCAAGATTACCACACCGTTCACACTATGACATAACGTGAAAAGCGATCTTGAATTTATTGGTGATTCAAGACAACGTTCCTATTGATTTATGCTTTTCCAAAGGTGCTGGACGCCTCTTATAGCCTTCTGCGGTGTTTGCGAGACGTTTATGGAAGTCATTTCGCATCAGGAGCCGAAGATGAAACTGGACAGCTGATGGAAAAGCTGAGTTTGGGGTAGGAGTCTCCCGCAGATGACCCCGTTTACCTGTGGGCGGTGACGGTCCCAGGCGGCTTCCGAAAGTCACTTGAGGGAGAGTTTGAGAAGCGAGACAGTCAGCTCCTACCATGGGCTTTCTGATCAGCTGGCGTGAACAGATTCGCCTTGAACCCTATCCAGGTGCTTCTGGCGTGTCACCTAGCAGGATGCTAACAGCTCCCCTATTTTAACTGTGTTTTTTTCCCCATTTACAGTCTTGAAGCAAGCCACCTTCTGCTTTTATACTCCTGATAGGGAGCCGTGGCCTTGCTTGTACCTTCACTGTTCCGCTGTACCCATCACACGTGTATGTTACCATGCTTTTAAATGTGGTACATTTCGAACTGCTGCTAGCGGGTCCGTAGGCCATCCGGCGGCTGAATCCTAACAGGCGGGAACAGCAGCCTGTTCTCAAGTTCTGCTGTGTGATCTGCTTACCAGGACAGTGAGAGATGCCGTGCTCCACTTCAGAGAGGCCAAACGGCTCCAGGAAAACGTACGATTGGAAATTTAAGCCAAGAAATCATTCATAACGTTAAACGACCAATGCAAGGTTGGCAACTTCGGTCAGCGGGTAGGATTCGAGACAAGTCTGCACACAAATGCACACGTACTTACATGTATGTGACAGTTTTAATACCTTGAAAATAGTCTGTAGGGTTTGCAAACTATTCCAACGCTTTTGATGTAGCTAATTTTAGGAACAATGTACATTTGCCGTAAGATTTTTGCGTGAATCTGAAAGTGTGAGTGTCACGCCAGATGCGTGAGAGGGAGACCTTGCCAATGGTTCAAATCCAAAGCTAATTGTCAGAAAAAGAAAAACCTGCTTTAATGTTGGATAAAAATGCACACTGGATAAAAACTGGACAGAGGAAGGAAATTATAATGAAATGAAAGTTAATAATTTAGTAAAATTTAATAATGTCTCATTGACTCTGTAACATATAAGAGAAGGGAGATAAACAAAACAGATATAAAAGGTAAGGAACTCAAAGTGCATGTACATGCATTCACACACACACGCGCACAAACACGCACACACGCGCACACACACACACACACACACACACACACACACACACACACA